TTTAAGCCAGTGTGCATGGACCCTAATAACACAATTTTCATGCTTAGCAAGCCCATGCATCAATTATTTTTACTATACAGTACGTGAAGAGCTGAACATGGAGGACAGTTTTTAGCCTATCTTAGGCTTGGTGACATGGTACACAGCCTTTATAATTTAAATTGATGGCTAATTTCTTTGTAATGAAGGATATGGTACCTTCACAGAGTAGCTGCATATACTTAACAGACTGAATATATACAGTACATATAGAATATTCTCTCAATATTCTTTCAATTATTCTGCCTAAACTTTGTTAGGACAGAGGATACATTTCAATACAAACACAATGCTAAGCATATTTAAAAAAATATAGGATCATCTTTCAATAGGAACTTTCTTTTTTTGACATGCGTTGCCCCATCCATGTGTTCTTTACTGTAAAAGCCAGTTATAGACTGGGGCAGTGGCCATTTTTTGTATTATCTTTCAATATTCCTGTCTACACTTTGTTAGGAGAGAGGATACATTCTTATCATGAACACAACTCTTAACATAGTTGACTTTACAGTAAAAACATGATAATATGGATAACAAGGAGATGACGCAAGACTTCTACTACAAAAAGCTTTAAACACATGGTAAAAAAAAAAAAAAGGCACCTAAAATATGTATTATAAAGCTGAAACTCATAGACAAAAACAATACTATGCACATTAAAGGTTTGTAAATAACCTATGTTAATGATTCCTTGATTTTCATAGGTGCACACCAATCTATTGTAATACATCTGCTGTCTGGCTTGGTCTATCTTATCATCAGTAAGACAAAACATGGCCACCTATCTTATATCAAATCAACCGTTTTGCTGCCTCTGTCTTTCATGAAGTCCTAAATAAATTCAGTATGGGTAGAAACAAAAAAATTTTGTTGGATTAGGTGAATGGGAGAGAAATGGGTTTACAACAAGATGTTTACAAATCTGCACTGGAACATGAGTAGCATGTGACTTTACCAATTGCCATGATCAGACAATTTTTTGACCACTGGCTATTACAGCTGTAAATTAATTCACTTATTTTTTTATAAGGTATTGATTTTGTACCCTATTGAAGCTAATGAATAATAGTTGTAAAACAGATGGATAGAGGAAAGGACCACATGCAGATTAAAATGCACCGTCACTGACACACAATTAGGGTATCCACTTTGTAAGTTAAACTGATTGATAGGAATGCTGCCTACAAATCCACTAGGAGCTATCACTGCACGTCTCTTGTACTGGTGAGGTGCCTTCTCAAATTGGCTGCCAATATCTGCTGGATTCTCAAAATTGCTACTATTTTTGCTCAAATATTGCATTTCCATAATAACCAGACTATGTCCTAGCTTCATCAGCATTGAAGGCAGTGTTGTGTAACAACAGATGAAAGGACTCTAGGTGGGGAAATGTTGAGGTACATGCTAGATGACTGCTGAACACCAGTAAATAGAAGAGTGGAATTGGGTGTATTGCTATAGTTCTAAAAAACCCAGGGATGTCTGCACAGTGATATATCTTAGAATCAAAATATACAAGCGTTTTAAGGGGCATGGTTTAACACTGCCTGATCCTCAAATATATACCATTTCTTGCTTAGCTTTCAGTAGAGTACAGGTGTCAGCACTGGAAGGTTTTCCCATACCTCCTGTTACTGTGACAGCTATAACATTTTCCATTTCTTATCTCTTTTTGTCACAAAGTTAACCATCCCCAAGACAAATGGAGAAATTAATCACCCCAGCAGGAACACAGGCAGCAATAAAAACTTGACAGTGGTTTTGATCCTTAGAAAAAATGTTTTGGTTATATACATACTGTAACAATTACTGTTAAGGAAGAACTGAGGTTAAAATGTAAACTCATACATTCATTTCCACACTGTATTTCAATTACTTAAAGTGTAGTTCCACCCAAAAGTGGAAGCTCCGCTTGTTTGCCTCCTCCTCCCCCCTCCACTACCATATTTGGTACCTTTTGGGGGGGGAGGGGGAAGCAGGTACCTGGTTTTGACAAGTACTCGCTCCCACTTCCAGCTTCGGCGAAGTAAGACGGACATTCGGCCCCCTTCTTCCTCCCACAGTCTCCTGGGAACCTTCACAGGTCCCAGAAGACTGCTGGACCAATCAGGAGGCACAGCGTGATGCGAGCATGCACAGTGGGCACCTGGCTGTGAAGCCACAGGATGTCACAGCCTGGTGCCCACAGTTGAGATGACAGCACCATGGAGAGAAGAGAAGGCAAGTCGTGGGTGAGTACATCACACAGTTTTTGAAGCTGCTGACTTTCAATAAACACAAAAACGGCTGGAACTCCGCTTTAAGCCTACTCCTATTAACCTGAGCAATCTTGAAGTTTAGTGAGGTGGAGAGGGAGGACAGTTGGGATAAGTGGGAGAAGAGGGTGGATGCAGGGGATTAGTGGAGGGAGAGGAGGAACATTGGGGATAAGTGGAGGAAAGGGGGACATTTGGGATAAATGGGGGGGGGGGGGAGAGGTGGGACATTGGGGATTAGTGGAGGGAGAGGAGGAACATTAGGGATAAGTGGATGAAAGGGGAACTTTTGGAATATATGGGGGGGGGGGGTGGAGGTGGGGACATTGGGGATTAGTGGAGGGAGGGGAGGAACATTAGGGATAAGTGGATGAAAGGGGAACATTTGGGATAAATGGGGGGGGGGGAGGTGGGACATTGGGGATTAGTGGAGGGAGGAGGAGGAACATTAGGGATAAGTGGATGAAAGGGGAACTTTTGGGATATATGGGGGGGGTGGAGGTGGGACATTGGGGATTAGTGGAGGGAGAGGAGAAGGAACATTAGGGATAAGTGGATGAAAGGGGACCTTTTGGGATAAATGGGGGGGGGGGGGGGGGAGGTGGGACATTGGGGATTAGTGGAGGGAGAGGAGGAACATTAGGGATAAGTGGATGAAAGGGGAACTTTTGGGATATATGGGGGGGGTGGAGGTGGGACATTGGGGATTAGTGGAGGGAGAGGAGGAACATTAGGGATAAGTGGATGAAAGGGGACCTTTTGGGATAAATGGGGGGGGAGGTGGGACATTGGGGATTAGTGGAGGGAGAGGAGGAACATTAGGGATAAGTGGATGAAAGGGGACCTTTTGGGATAAATGGGGGGGGGGGAGGTGGGACATTGGGGATTAGTGGAGGGAGAGGAGGAACATTAGGGATAAGTGGATGAAAGGGGAACTTTTGGGATAAATGGGGGAGGGGGGGACATTGGGGGGATTAGTGGAGGAGAGTGCACATTTTGGAGAAGTAGGAGTGGGGAGAGGGGGACATTGGGGATTAGTAGAGGGAGATTTCCATTACAGGTGGGGTACAGCAGCACACCCATTTATGGAACAGCAGAGGAGCAAAGCTCTGAGCAGTATGCTGCAGGGACTGGAGGAGGCTCAGTGTCCTGGGACTGACAGCCAATAGGAAGAAGTCAGGAAAGTATGTATGCACTCCTTTTGGAAAGAGGAGCAAAACTCCCAGTACTAGCTTTTCATTGCAGAAGATTATTATCTGCAGTAGAGTGCGGGGCGAGGACAGGCTGTAACATGATACATTAAGGGATGTTTCATAGAAGATAGGAGTCCGTGTACTGTGTTCTCGCTCAGAACAGCAATCGCACTGAAGGAAACACCCACTCCCCCGCCCTCTCCTCTGCTGTCATGTGCTGAGCAGTGAGGGTTTTGTGCTGCTGGACTAGCAGCCAAGCTTCTCTGTCTTCAGTTTTCTGCCAGCGCCGGAGTAGCCGTAGCAGGGCTAAATGCAGAACAAAACTTGTTGCCTGGCACTGCATATCCCAGGCATCGGGCGTTAGGAATTAAACATCCCTGTGAGAGGAGGAGTTTTAGGAGGCGGAGTCAGTACAGGACTCCGTGCAGGCAGGACAAGGTTCCATGCAGGGCAGGACAGGATTCCATGCAGGCAGCAAGGTACTATGGGATATGTTGTCCTTAGAAATCAAACGTAAACCAAAGGAATAAGAAGGGGAGAAGTTGCAAAACATGCAGGGAATCCAGGAGGTTGTGGAAAGAGATGACCAGCAGACAGGCAGCAATCACAGCATGAAAGGAGATTTTTCAAGTAAGTTTATATAGGATCATCTAAAATAACTATCATTTGTATTGCTATTACAGTGTTCATGTTATAAAATGAAAGTATATGCTGTGACTATACATTTCCTTTAATTAAACAATGTATCAATATTGCAATGAATGTTCAAAATGGAATTGGTCAGAAGGTTTTTAAAAATATTTATAAAATAGCAACAATATACAACACACATAATGAAGCAATCGGTGGGTATTAAATATTCACAAAATAAGGGGAATAGGAAACTTGGTTTTGCCACTGTCTATCTGTTGATTAAATACACATTACTGAGATATAGCTCAAAATTCGATATAGCGAAACAAAATAAAGACCTTTTAATTTCAGCCAATGCACATAATAAAATGAAACTCCTATTGCAAGGGATTCCCATAGTTTGATTTGTTTTTTTGGAAAAGCTGTGGCCATTAACATGAAGAGAAAGTATTCATTGTGTTGAAAACAATATTTTTGCCAATCTTGCCTTTCTATTTGAATCTGTTATTGCTTTCTAAGATTGGCAAAAATATTGTTTTCAACACAACAATAAATACTTTTTCTTTATGTTAATGGCCATGGGTGATGGGATTCACTGATTTCAGTGGGCTGCAACTTTTTTTTATTGGCTGCACTCTTAGAAAGAGAGCAATAAAGAGCTGACAGCATCCTGTATGCACTGGTGCTGTTAGATAGGATTAGCAAGAATAATGGCACGAGTTACTTTAAGGGCCCATGTATACTGCAGCTGATAAACTCACGTTTAGGAGCTGTTCAGCATTTTTTTCAGCAGCCCCTGAACTCTCCCTAATGTTTTCCTTTGTGTCCATGTACACATTTTCGTTTACAGTCATTTGAGTTTACAGTCTTTTTTTTAAATCAGAAAACTTGCGTTCGGCAGTTGATTTTATCAGTGTTTTAAATGCAAAATGCTTGTAAACGCACCAAATCATGTTTATAAGCGTTTGAAATTTTATTTTAACTCTTCCAGTTCCCGATGCTGTCCAGAGTCTTTTTTTCATTATGAAAAATGCATTCAAAGAGTTTTCAAGGTACTCAGATGGACAAAACACTGAAAACAGGATGTTCCTACCAAGCTGGTCACACATTGAGGTGTGAATGGTCATTAACATATCTTTTTGTTTCCAAGGGAGGGAGAGGTCTGAGGTGTGAATTGGTCATTACAAATTTCCCATGAAGACCCCCTGCCAGGTGACTCACTCCACCAGACACCTTTCCCACCCTTGGAAACAAAAGAAATGTTAATGAGCAACTCACACCTAAGCTAATCTCAACATTTACTGCTGTCTCTGCTTCTACTCTCTGTATTTCTCTGAAATAGTCAATAATTTACCACTTTTCAGTGCATTCTGGGCATTTGGGGGGGTCTCCTCTGCTTATCTTTAAAAAACGCTTCTAAACACAAACGCACATAAATGCGTTATGCAAACGCGGCTAAACAGACGTTTTTAACCTAAGTTTTCCAGCAGTCAGTTTCCATCGGTCAGAAGTGTCCCGTGTACACGGGGCCTTAGAATATCGTAAAGAGAGTGAAATTCTAAGACTGCAAACTGGTAACGAGAAGACTTTCCAAGAAACAGAATAACTTGGACAGTTTTTACTGCAACTTGGACCCTTGAAGGGAGGGGAAGATTTGTGTGCATCTGCTGAGTAACTGTACTGATGTCTCAGCAGACAGAGAGTTAAAATGCTGCGTCAATTCGTTGTGTCGTGCAGTGAGGAGTGGAAGGACAGTGTGAAATAAAACAAGAAACGACATGTGTGAATGTGGTTTAGCAATAGGCAGCTCTCTTTATATTTCTACGGACCATAATTGGTTCTGTCAACATGCAGAGCACAATCAAATACATCTGTACCTGTCTGAGTGCCAGTCCCTTACATCAGCTCTTACATCCCTTCAGCTGGTTTTACAGGCAGACCTGTGTTACAATAACGCAAAAGAAACAAACAATGGAGGCCAGGTTTTTACAGGAGGCACCAATTACAGCCTTAAAAGCCACAATCCCGGCACAATAGATCACAGAGGCCATATTAAAATCCCAAGCACTTTGCACAATAAAGAGATTGCAGGTTTATCACTTCCCTGTGAAAAGCAATTGGACAATTAGCAGGATAATCCAGGTGAGATCAACAACCATGTATTTCAAGTAGTTCTATAAAGTAAATACAACAGCTCTGCCTTAAAAGAGACTTTCAGCAAGGTTGTCCCTATGTGGGGCAGACATCTCAATAAAGAGGAACTATTCTCACCTTGGCTCCAGCGATGCAGCATCCTGGAGCTCCCCACTGGCCACTGCCGGGTATCATTTGCCAGCCGCTTTCACTGGCTGGGCCAATATGACATCACTACTGCATATTATTATTATTATTATTATACAGTATTTATAAAGCGCCAATAGTTCGTTCAGCGCTGTACATTACAAAGGGGGACAGAACATGTGACAGAACAATACCAATACAATGCAAAACATGAGGGGATTGAGGGCCCTGCTCTTTGGAGCTTACAATCTAGGAGGGAGGGGATAGTGGTACAGGAGGAGATAGCTGTGGGGGATGGAGTGGAAGGAAGAGTGGAGGAGGTCGGCAAGTTAGCAGGGGGTGGGGTAGGCTTCCCTGAAGAGATGGGTTTTCAGGGTGCGCCTAAAGGAGAGGAGAGTAGGTGATAATCTGATGGGTTGGGGCAGGGAGTTCCAGAGGATGGGTGACACCCTGGAGAAGTCCTGGAGGCGGGCATGGGAGGAGGAGACTAGGGAACTAGAGAGAAGGAGGTCTTGTGAGGAGCGGAGTGTGCGTGCTGGACGGTACTTGGATATTAGGTCAATGATGTAGTTCAGGGCAGTATGATGGACAGCTTTGTACGTCAGTGTTAGGATTTTGAATTTGATCCGTTGCGCAATCGGAAGCCAGTGGAGGGATTGGCAGAGGCGGGTGGAGGAAACAGAGCGGTTGGAAAGGTGAATGAGTCTGGCAGCAGTATTCAGGATTGACTGAAGCGGGGATAGCCAACGGCGAGGCAGGCCAGTGAGGAGGGAGTTGCAGTAGTCGAGTCGTGATATGATGAGGGAGTGGATGAGCTGTTTAGTGTTTTCTGGGGTTAGGAACGTGCGTATTTTGGCGATGTTGCAGAGGTGGAGTCTGCACGAGTTTGTTAAAGATTGGACTTGGGGCTGGAAGGATAGGTTGGAGTCCAGAATGACACCAAGTACTCTGGCCTGCAGGGCGGGTTTGATATTGGCGTTGTTGGATGTGATGGAGAAGTCAATGGGGGGTGGTGTCCGGGCTGGGGGGAAGACAAGAAACTCGGTTTTGGAGAGGTTCATATTCACAGTAGTTCAGCCGGCTTCACAGTGGCATCACTATGGTTGGTGTCACCTTGGTGTAGTAAAACATGGTGTCATCTGCCCCCCCCCCCAATAATTTTTATTTCATTATAACACAAATGGACACAGAGTGGCCAGTACAGAACACTTCCACTAAGTGGACAGGCAAATAGGTAACAAAGCATTTCTCTTCTGCATTAAAAATCCTGCCTGTTTGCCCCTTTTTTAGTTTTTACATAAAGTTCCATGTTAACATGAAATCCTGCTCAAAATCATTCAACAATAAACTACAACACAGTGAAATAAATCACAGACATCAATCTCTTTTATTGAAAACAGAAAGCCTTCAAAAGCATACCCTGCTAGAAAGTTCATACCTGAATATCCACATTACAGGAGAGCAAACTCAAACTCTCAAAATTAAATGAGTATAAACTCAGCAGGCAGCTACTAAATACAATAGATCAGCATCGGGATTTGTCCATCTCCATTGTATCATGGATGGAGGAATCTTCTAGTCAAAAGGTTGAGTGAAAAAAAAAAATCAGAAAGTGTATGGCCAGATTTACTCTTAATGAAACAATCTACCACATGAAACATTGCTTTCTGAGGAACCGGTCATAAGTTTGATGAACATCAATGTCTCCATGGTTGAACTAACAATCAAGACACTCAGAGATAGATAAGAGATATGAATGATGCTACCAAATACACCAAGTCAGCCAAACTTGGAGGAAATGTTGCTCAGTCTTTTACTTTTAGTAATGAATAGCAGACCAAGACAAGCCAGTTAGAGAGGTCTTTAGCAGCTTTTTCCCGTTCATAGCCAGAAACATTCAGGCTGTATTCACACAGGAATGGATAGCTGCTGGAGCACTTTCCTTCTTCAGCAGGTGTCTGTTCTCGACTGCAGTAGGGGGCAGTTTGGTGCACAATTTTTTGTACAAACTTTACCTGAAGTGTACAAAAGTGCTGAACAATGCTATGCAGTTCTGTACAATCCACTGCGATAAAATACTACATGTCCAGTGTGACTGGGACACACAGAAAACAATTGTTTTCTGTGTCCTTGCGGTGACAGGCGTTTTACTGTGTGAATTAACCCTCAAGCTTAGCTGGTCAAAATGTGAATTCGTATGAAAATTTTTTGAAAAGATCACATATCCAAACTGCTTCTGATGTCTATGGCCATCTACTTGTATATAGTATTTTGCTGTACTGTACAGCTGTTGTAAAAACTTTAATAAAAACACATTAGACAAAAAAAAGGCAGTTTGCCAAAATGCCGCCGCTGAGCCTTCCGATGATGGATGCCCTGCTGCTTCATCTTTTATTTTTTGGCTAAATTCCTGGGAAAGAGGATCAAAGTGACATACTGCAGCATTTAGGGGGGAGAAAAAAAAAAGAAATGTATAAAAAGTTACAGGTTTGTATCTCACAATTATTCAAACCACAAATGAATTATAAATGAACCTGTCAGGTGAAAGGAGGATTGCAGGCATTAGAGTTTATTCAGGGATTCATTTTACAGGAATTGTAGCCACTACTGGGGGATCACTCAGGTTCACTTAAAGACAATGCAAAGGCAAACAAAAAATGGTTGATAGACAGCTAAATGTTAAAAGGGATCCCCAGGTAAAACCCAGATGTCAAGAAGGAATTGAGGAGTAAACGGCTATTAACCCGTATTTGCTTTTTGATGCACTACTACTGTATAGTATAAGAGGTCTTAAGCCGGCCACAGACGGTTCAAATCTTGGCAAGTTCAGCAGGGACCAACCGAGATTCAAACATGTTTGGGCAGGCTGAATGTATCCAAGTTGGTCAATCGATGAACTTGGGTACAACCAGCCTATCAGATATTTCATGAAATTATTGCTAGCGGCTACTAGAACCGCTAGAAGTAATCAGTGTTCTCCTGGCAGGGAAGGCTCCCTTGCCCAGAGAACACAATGGCTCCATAGGAGGGATTCCCCCATCAACACTGACTGTGTTTATTTAGGAGCTTGCTCCCAGCTGGAAGCGATTTGCAAACTTTGCTGATATACTAAAAAGAACTTCTGACAAGGAAACTGTATCCAAGCCCCACATACCATCTTACTGCTGAAAAACGTGTGATGTAAAGTAGCTTTCCGAGCCTACAGAATATGTATGCTTAAATACCTTTGCCATATCCTACAACTTTGAGCTTGGGCCTGCCTTTCCTTCAATCCACAAAATGCAGCCTAAAGCTGGCCATACACGGATTGATATTTGGCTTTTTCAGCAGGAACAGGCTGAATTTCGATCAGTTTATTTTCATTCCCGTTAAAAAGAATTTAAACTATTGATTCCTGCTGTCAGAATACAATGAGACAACTGGGAGAATTCCTCCACCAACATCGAATGTGTGGATGGGGAAAGTCGGTAGGCTGAACCATGTATGGCCAGCTTTAGGAGATATACTCGGTTGGAGTGGGGAATTCTGGTAAGGTTGGACCAAACCAGAGGAAAAGTCTAGTAAATCCATATGTGAACAAACGTTATGCTACATACACTACAATGCGAATGCACTTTACAAAAAAAATTTTTTAACACAGGCTATCACATGACACATGCATTGTCATGCAATTTAGTGATTATGATAGAAACCTAACCATCTGACCTGGGCAGTCACTTTGCTTTTACTGTAGATGAAATGTTCCAGTTTGAGAATACTAGCTATGCATTTAACCCACTTGGGATGTGTACATCTACAGACCTGGAATAAGGCTCTAGGAATGGCTTCTTTAGTAAAGTTGTCAACCTGTAGATCACCGAGGATATTTATAACACAGCACTTGAGATCAACGGGTAGAGCAGTTTGAAACACCAAAATTGAGTGTGGTTACTATGCTTGTCCAGTAAGTATGCGACATGGGACAGCACCAAAGTAGGAAGAATAAATCCCCATGAACATGTTTA